AACCGTGAGGCAATCCTTCGCATCGAGCGAAAAGGAAGAAACCGGGCATTGAAATCATATTCATCTCGCTTCAGTTTCATGAGGACTTTCATTTGTCATTATTTGGTCTCAATATATCAACCTTGAGAAATGAACGTAATGGCTTTCGGAATTTTATCCCTTACTGGATTTCACGTGTCTCACTTGGAAGCCTGTTCCATGCTACGGAGTATCGGTTAAGGGCAATGTTATCCGACTGCTTAGTTCTTGATCTTTTCATTAATACTTTGTTGTTATTGTTGTTGCATCGCTGGTGCGATGCATTGCTGGTTCTTTTAGTTGCAACACCGGATTTGAGGAATGTATTTTTCTGGTTAGGGTATCAAATGTAACGAATAGGCTAAGTTGCATCAGGCGCAGCCATAATGGATCGAGTTGTAAGGTTATGCATCGATCCGTATGTGCTAATGTAGAGGAGTAGTCACGAGATGTTTAGTGAATGACCATAGCACTCGCTCTAACGCTATTCAATCACTAACTTTGGAATTGCAATAGATTATGGAGCTATAATCTAGTGATGGGCCTGTTTGTATTTTGCGCGTGACATGAGTTGATTCTCTTAAAGTGAATGTTTTGAACAGAAACCCGAAGAACTTGCGCGGCAGTATGCCCGGCGTGCTCAGCGAATTTAAGGGTGTTCGAGTAGTGTATCCGAAAAGTCGTCCGAATACAGTTGGAGTAATAAAGGGCCCAGGACACTGCCTTGTATCACACCAATAACGACTGCTTTAGGCGTGCTTGTTTCATTTTGAATCTGGACAACCTTGTATCTGTTCGTGAGGCACGAATCGAACCACAACAACAGTGGGTTGCCTATATCATGTGCAATTAGTTTGGATAAAAGGTAAGTATGCGGAACACGATAAAATGTCCCTTCCATGCCAAAGTAGACGACTATAGAGCTGATGAGCCGCAGTCAAGCGAACTAACCGGAACATTGAGGTATCCGATCTGCTTTGTTACGCAGGATCACGATCTTAGGAAGCCGTATTTTAAGGGGTTGATAAGTGTTCGCGTCATCAAAACTCAACCGTTTTGTACTTTATATGATGTTCCATCATCTTAAGGAGGATAGAAGTATGGCTGGTTGGACGGTAGTTGGTCTACTTCGTGCTCGGAACCTGATTTGTTGGTAGGGTTGTTGACAGAAATTACACATTTCTCATCTCCGATGCCGAATCCGCCACTTGTTATTTTTGCTGTCATAGGCGCTCTGAATAGACGCGCAGGCGCTTCTCTTCAACAATGCACTCTCGTGAGCAACCATTTGGCTTCGAAGTTCCATCAGAATCAGTGCTCAACCACCGAAAGCGGTGGCATTATTTCGGTTTATGCTGTCACGGAGTGTGTTCCAAAATTCACCATACGAATTCCGTGAACAGCCCTCCACTATCCAAATGCATAGAAGCGCGAGTGTTGTGGTGGTTGCAGGTGACCCGAATACTGAACTCTGTCGTTACTAACTTCTCCAGCTGTACGTCGGCCATAACATCCACGTCAGCTGCACAGCTTTCTACCACAAATGCTCGCGTCGCATTTCGTGGTGTTCATCGGACGATAGGATCTCTTGAGTCCAGTTTGCCCACATCGCCACTTGCTATAAATAACAAAATCTGGATCGTTTACCTCGATTCTGGTCATCACCTCATGCGTCCGCGCAGTGCACCCACTCGCCCTACTTCGGGTAAGCATTCAGCTCCGAATATACTTGCTCGTCACTTGCTTTAACAACCATAAAAACAGCAACACCGGCCTAATTTGCTACCGCAGTTATTGCTATCGAACGCGGTAAGTGAGCAGAATGCCTATCGGAATCGTCTCCATGAGTCATAAAGATAGCTCTCAAGACCAGCTTGGGTCTTCCCGAAACTTCAATTAGTCTGATTTAGGCACGCAAAACAGCACCATCCAGATATCAATTTCAATGTGTTCTCAACTCTAGCCAAGGGTCTGAGAATCAACTGGAAACGCTGATTGCTGACGACGGCTCGCGAGATAAAGAAAGCCTACGTTATTTGGAACACCATAGTTATTCAAACTCGTTCGATGCACTGGCTCATTGGATGTGTTTGTGATTGAAACAAGCGGTAAAATGATGGGCAGCTAATTCGCACTCAGTCACATCGGCCAAGATGCTGAGCTGTGTAGTTTGAGAAGCATTTTTATCTATCTAATTTCAACATTGCTAATTTGTTCATCTGAACTCACTTATGGTGTTGACAAAACAAGTCTTAATGTTGACGGAATTTGACATCGTAGTAAAACTTTGTCCTTTAGGGACAAATCGTCCATTGGGGGAAAAAGAAAGAGCAAAGAAACACGGAAACACACAACGCTTTCATATGTATTGTCTAATCAGTACCATTACCGACGCAGTTCCACTAACAGTGTTCCCTCTTTATTCAAGCTAAACAACAATTGGCAACCGTCTTCCAAGTAGCAGAGCTTGGTGCGGCGAATAGATGAGGGTGTTCGGTTCGCATCGAATCAGCTGTCTCGGACATCTTACCTGATCCATCCGATAAAGCACTTCCATCAAAGACACGAGCAGTTACCGCTGAAACGAAACAAGGCACGTGGCCCAGCCGATCTGCCTCCGTTACTGAAGAGAGGCGACTCACGCGTAATCGCCATGGCTGTTCTGTTCGGCATTAGCTGGCACAAGCACGAAGTACCTTTTACTTGGCAGTTGTCAAACTTCATTCCCATTTTTAAAAAGAGCCGCAAGATAGCCTGTGCAAGTCGTTGCATCAGTCTGATCTCAGTTACCTCCAAAGCGTTCACATGCCTCATTCTACTACCGTGCACTGTTCCTCATTAAGTACAATTGCTGAGGTGTTTCTC